TGGTATCTCCCATGGCTGACCCCAATCAGCAATGAGAGGGTACAAGAGTGGGACTGATGCAATCCTTAGAGGTAAGACCCTATTACCACTCAGATCTGAGAGCAGTGTGGAGAGTGGGTTTTATATCATACCTGTCCTAATAAAGCTACGTAGCTCTGGTAGCATATGCCTAAGGCACTTGACTGCTAACCAGAAGGTTAGCAGTTCAAACCCACCAGCCACTCCTCAAAAGGAGGGTTGGGCAATCTACTTCCGTAGTGATACTGCCTTGGAAACCCAAGGATGGTTTGCTATGAGTCGGGTCTGACTCAATGGCACATAACAACAAAAACAACTGCTCTTATAGAGCTATGTATAAAGTATAGGAATACATGACTAATTGCAATTTGGAAACAAGATTGGAGGAAAGTTCCTACTGTAGTAGCATTTGAATGAGTGAGAACTTGAGGATGATAAGTGAGAGATTTTTGACAGGAGAAAGGAAATGAGGTTCAGGGACATTCCAGAGAGAGGGACCACCCAGCACAAAGGCCAGAAGAGCCAAAGTATAGACTGTGCTTTGGAAAAGCTGGTGTGATTGGATCACAGGGGCTGGAGGAGAAGAAGGGGCACGAGCTAAGCCAAGTAGAATGGGAAATACCTTATAGTCATGCTGTGGAGTTGGAACTTTATTCTCAAAATTTGGTCCCCAGACCAGCACCATCAGCATCATCTGAGAACTTGTTAGAAATTTGGGGCCCAATTTCACACCTACTGAGTCAGACACCCTAGAGGTGGAACACAGCAACTGGGCTTTATTGCGCCCTGCGGGTGAGTCTGGGGCAAGGTCAAGTGTGAGAAGCACTGCTCTAGATTTCAGGGAGCCACTGATGGCATGTCATCAGAGGAATGGTGAGATCAGAGCTATTTTTCCAAAAGGTAGTTTTCAGTGGGAGGAAGAAGGAGGACAAGAATGGAGAGTCCTAGAAGTAGTACAGAATCCTAGGTAGCAGGTCTGGTGAGAGAACTATGAGGACACCAACTGGCAGTGAGACTGCAGTGACGAATGAGAGGCAGGACTGGTGACTTAATGGGTAGGTGGAATGGGGAGAGGAAGTAGCCAAAGGTGCCATGAAAGCTACTTTTAATGTACAATAAATGTAATATACTGTTACCGGGGTGCCTGAGACCCTGAGCAGGGGTCCTTGCCTTCTACTGACAAAGACTTGAACAGGAGAGGCAAAATGCCCTCCACACAAACCAAAGTTTATTAAAAAGACAGAGGAGAGGGGAGGGATTCTTGAGGGAGAGACAAAGAGAGGCTCCAGTCTCTCTCTGAACAAAGGGATTCCTAAGGTTTATAAAGAGTCTTCAGCAGGAAAGAGGCATTATCTTTATTGATGAAATGGATGGGGTTCTGAGGTTTAAGTTATGAATGCATGATGTCTTTGGACCCAAGTTCGAGCCCCAGTGAGATTTTTGTTCTCACCTGCCTCTGGTGAAGGTCACTTTGTAGGTCACGTTGACCTTTACGGTGTATGCTCTGCCTCTGATGGGTGCCTAATGAGAGACTTAAAAAAAAAATGTTTATCAGCATTTTATAACTAGTCAATCTTAGGGTCCTTTAATTTGTGGCCTCTTTATCTCACCCAAGCACTTGGCTTGCCAACTAATCAGTTCTTTGATGCCAGGTGGCCAAAATTATGCGGTGGTCTCCTCGCAGGCTTAAATTTCAGGGACATTGAGTCAGGGGCCTGTTTGACCTGATTTTCTCAATACTTTACATCGTCTGTTGTTTTTCCAGGAACTCAGTTTTCTCATCTGAAGAGCAGGGTTTAAATGAGATAACTTCCGGGGCGTCTTTCAGCTCATATGCTGAATAAAGGTGCTGAGTGACCTGCTGCAGTCTTCTCACAGCTCTTTGTGAACAGCACCAGGGTGAGAACCCACAGAATCACACTGCTGCCCTGGGCTTGCATTTCCCAAACAAATTGCCCCTTAATCTTTGCATTTGAGAGGCCATTAAAAAAGGAAATAGTGCCCTTATACCATATGGAAAAGGAGCTCTGGTGGCATAGTGCTTAAGGCATTTGACTGCTAACCAGAGGGTTGGCAGTTCAAACCCAGCAGCCACTCCATGGAAGGAAGACTGGGCAATCTACTTCTGTAAAGATTTACCACCTTGGAAACCCAATGGGGGTCACTAGGAGTAAGAACCGACTGGATGGCAGTGGTTTTTACCATACGGAAATAAAAACAAAATAGTACTAAATTGTACGTTTTAAGAAGTCCAACGGAAGTATGGTTATTCTCCTAATGATTACTTTGATGCTACTTTAGTGGGGGAAGAGATATCAAACATCTCAATACTTTAATCCTTCTTCCCTTGGAAGAGGAGGGTGTCCCTAATTTTGATGCTCAGTGAGACATCTGGATAATCCAGCCCTGATGCTGGAGAGATGAGACAGAAACTCTGAGGGTAAGGCAGGGCAACCAGATAGTCTGGTAGGGTATTACACATGAATTCTCTCTTTGTGGAGCTGACACCTAATTCCTATTTTTATCTTATGTTAAGGGAAAGTATTGAGAAATACTGAAAGTAGTAGCTATGAAGCCTACAGCAGAGAAGTTCTACTGTGATACTACTTAGGAAACAGTTACACACTGTGGGTACAAATTTACCAAAGACGTCCACACATGGTATATTTTGACTTGAAGGAAATGCCCAGAATCTCAACCTAAGGAGAAAAAAGTAGGAAAGAACACAAACAATCCATTCCTTATCTGGATTTCACTTTATTTAAAGCAGATGCAGATACTACCACCTTCCAAAGAGCAAAAGCAATAACCCAAATGCTCAGCAGTCACTCACGCCTTCAATACCTACATACACACACACACACACACACACTGCAATCATCGGACCCAAAACGTAGTGGGAGTTAAACATTTGCATCTTTTGAGTAAATTTAGCTAAAAGATCAGGAGATGCAGAATAACCCATTAATCATAAGTGTAAAGACTTTAATAAATCACCAAAAACTACTGTGTTTTATGCAAATAACACGTACATTGTAGTTTCTTGCGAGACATGCAACCTCACATTAGCTTCCTCTGAGTGCAGTACACATTACAGTGTGGGTGTGTCATATGCAAAGATATGGCAACTGTATAATCTGACTTCAAAATAATGACATATCATTCACCTTATGCTTCCTCACTCTCTGGACAAAGGAAAAGATTCTGGGTATTCAGTTCTTCAGATAGGACTTCCTTGGAGGAAGTCTGCTTTGCGCACTGTGCAGAAATACATTTCTGAGAGGAGCCCAGAATAAGGGGAACTCCATGGGCTGCTCCCAGAGCAGCACACCTGTGGGAAGCAGTATAACTCAGAAGCCCTGGAGCCAGACAACCTGGTTCACATCCCAACACTTTCACTTATTAGCTATGTGACCTTCACAAGTTACTTATCCTCTGTGCCATCAACTTTCTCATTGATAATATGGAGACACCTTTGTGTAAATCACACAGATGCAAAGCTCTTATAAAGGGGACAGAACAAGTGTTCAATAAATATTAACTCACACACTCGCTCACTGCCGTCGAGTCGGGTCTGACTCATAGCGACCCTTCTGTGGATTTCTGAGGCAGTATCACTATGGAAGTAGATGCCCAAACTTACTTCCAAGGAGTGACTGGTGGATTTGAACCACCAGTCTTCTGGTTAGCAGTCAAATGCATTAGGCACTATGCCACCAGAGCTCCCCAACAAATATTAGCTATTACTATCTCACCTAGATGATCAAAAACATTTATATGTGTATCTTTAGGAAAAGAACAAGAATCTTGTTCACCATTTTTGGAAAGAGACAGACATGAAAAAACAGAAAATTTGCTCCTATACACTCTGCTATACTGGAGAACCATTTTAAAATAAAATTTGACTAGTCACATATTCCTTACATTAGGCTCAACTTGCTGCCTTTCCTCTGTCCAAAGAGTATCAGGAAGAAAAATTTTAATGGGAAAGATTTAACTTGGTAGGGCTTTGTAAAGGAGTAAAAAACTACAATGAGGCTACAGTTACTGTGAAGATGATGGCTGTAAGAACTAAAGTAAGGTTATTTATCTTTTAAAACTGGAGGCAGGGTATAAACAAATGTACAAAAAAATATCCAGAGGGAAAAATGAGAAATGAGTAGCATCACTATGGCAGGGCAAGTGCACCCCATATGGCAAGTTAATGGGATCAGGAGGAAGCAAATCAAGTTAATGGCTTGGGCAAAGCTGAGATACCAAGGGCTCCTGAGTAAGAAACTCAGTTTCCAAATCAGTGTTAAAGACTTCAGAAAAGCACTCCTGACTCTGCTAAAGATTTGGGGAACATCTATCCCTCTGCAGGGCTACTAGCAAACTGGGTCTGCAACAAAAATTTATTAATCAACTGTATATCAGGCTCCATATAATTAAAAATAGTAGCCTTACTCCTGTTATTGCCAAAGGTTGTCCAGTCATGGCTCCTGGTCACTTCTCTGGCCATGGGGGAGAAAGGGGATGTGGGTCTCTAATTGTCTGTAACCAAAACCTTTGTTTTTTTAACCTTTCATATTAAGATTTCACTTTCAAAAGTAGAAATTAAGGAGAAAATAAACAAAACACTGAAGGACAATCTCAGAGATGGAAATGAAAAGAGGAGAACAATTGACAGCTAAAGGAATAACTGAAGAGGACAGATGGTGATTTCAGACCCACAGCAACAGGCCTCCCACTCCCAGTGATGACACAAGAATGAGGCAGGACATCTCTGCAGCAAAATTACACAGATCCTTGTGCTTTTGTCCTCTGTAAGAAGTAACCCTCCTGAAATGACAGGCTAGTAGATTCTTAATCTTACACAAACCACTTCTTGAGGTCAAATTTTTACAAAGGTGTTTGTACTTAATGTTTTAGATTGCCATTTACTGCTGTGTCTCCTCAAATACATTTGTAAGGCGGGTCAACACATCATTCCAACAGTCTTCTTACTCAATTCCTTTAGCTTTCAGTTCGGCTTTGATACGTTTCAGGTAATGAGGATCAGGATAGCCATAACTGCAAAAGGAAAATCCCTTTAGCTTCATCATAAATAGTTCTTAAGAATCTGCAGGAGGGGACATCAAGCTCAATTGGCATAACATACTACACAAAAAACATTGTTCCACTTCCTACTTTGGCGAGTAGCAACTGGGATCTTAAAAGCTAGCAAGCTGCCATCTAGATGCAACGATGGGTCTCTCCTTGTCCAGAGCAAAGAAGAAT